GAAGGTAAAGAGGGGGTTGAAGAAACATATGGATTTTATTTGCAGGGTCTTGAATGCTTTACGATTTTTCTAAAACAAAGAAAATGCTGAACAATCAGAATCTTTCCAGGGGTGATGATCCAGAAAAACCTCAAAGTAATGCAGTAATGGTCATAATGTTTAGCTACAGTAAGAAGTTTTTCTGGTCCATTCATGTGTGCCTCTAAAGCTGCCTATAGACAGGCAGAGATCACCCCGAAAACAGCTAGTAGGGAGAAATCTGTCTGCACTTGCCCGAACAAACACTGAAACCCCCTATATTCCTTGCTCAATTCGGACATTGGTACTCCTGAATTCTTTTCCATAGGATAGGGAAGGATTGCGATGTGTTTGTAGATGACTCAACACATTGGAAAATCTCTTAATGCCATATCGAGTGCGTCTGACCTCCTGACACCTTCCAGAAACTGCCAATATTTGCAAGCCATGCTCAGAATCAGGAGCCACCGATGGGCAGTGTGAAGATATTCTGCAACTCGCATATACTTCAAACAATACCTAACTGCCTGCATGATGATGGGGACCCCTGAACAGATCTAAAGGTTGCCCCATGAAAGTCCATGGAAAATAATACAGAGATCATTTGGTTAGTTACATGAAAAGGATGAGTAAATTGGTGGTTTGAGAACTTTGAGGTGAAATATATATAACATGTATGTATTTACAGTATATCTACAGGAAAAAAAATAGATATTTCACATTTGCAAATGTAACTTTGCATCCCAGTACATTGTTGGCTGCCATATTAGGCCACAAATGGCTTAAAGGGCACCTGTCACCGGACAGCTATAATGTCTGTCGTTACTGGCTTCCTTTTTAAAATATTATCCTGTCATCCTGTTCCTCTGGCATCAGTGCTTCCTAAAGCTGGCCATACACCTGACAATTATCATTCGATTTCTTTTGAACGCTTGCTCGATTACCGCACAACTGCCCCATCATGCACAGACTAATGTAGATTTCGATAATTGTTCGTTAGCAATACTAACTGACTGAATTTCGTCGATCGGCAAAACGGATTTTCGTTTGCACATGTTCACGTTGTGATTTTTTTCGTACAAAAATGCCACTAATCTATCGATTTTTATAAGATTCTAACAAAATTCGCCCAGTTGTACAGTAATTGTGATCATTCACTTCCCATCAACTGGCCGATTATCGTATGAAAACCCAGTTTCGCTCGGAAATCGAACGATAATCGCAAAGTGTATGTGCACCTTAACACACAACAAGGAAACAGTATATGAAGTCAGAGGGAAGTCAATACTACTGATTTGCAAACATCCTCTCTACCAGTGACTCAGAGAGCATTAAAGCCAGAGGACCCGCATGACAACCAGGCAGCTAGCATTTTCTGCAATGCCAGGCTATGCATTTCTCTCAGCATAGGCTCCCTTGAAAGTTGTCAGAGGTATATGACACAATTGAAGTAGAACTAAATTCTCGTTGCGGGGCTGGGATAATAATAATGTAAGAATATGCACAGCATACTTGCACATTGTGGCAAAACTAATTGCCAAGCATGCGATTGCAGTGATGTGATAGCCGCCATCTCCCTCATTGCTCTGTTTTAATTATTCAGCTTCTATATTAATAAAGTTCCAGAAAAGTATAAAAAAATTAAACTGGAAAAAAACAGAGAGAAAGGAGAGAGTTAATATTGACTAGTTAGGGATAACAAGGTTAGTAGAGGGTTAACTACTACTACTTAGTGGTCACTATCATTGTAATTGTCCCCAAGTCCATTCCTTTATGGATTCTCCTTTTGAATTACACCTGAAGCACTGATGAAGGGGGTGTTTGCCCCGAAATGTGTTGGCACTTTGATGCTTTTATTGTTACCAATAAAAATTGTTTTCGACTCTTCTTCATTTAGTAGCACCTTTGTTTTCTGTTGTAATCAAAATGAGGATCTACAGCTGAGTGATACACAAATAAGATACATTTTTGTTAATAGTTATGGTACTCGAATACATTTTTTTAGGTTTAACTCCTGAGTTTAGTGTCACTTTAAAAAAGCACTTGTACTTCCATCTCTGTTGCTGTCCGAGAGTTTTCCCCTCAATTCTAGTCTTTGGGGACAACCTTTTTACCAGACAGGAAGTGGAGGAATCTCTTAACACAACCTCGGATGGCAGTAAATCCTGACAGGAGTTCTAATCCTTCCTCATCCTATCTATAAGTAAAAGAAAAGTTCTGTCTATAGATACATTTTAACAAAGTATGATTTCCAGTGTTTATAATAAGAACTGTATGCTTTATTATTTTAAGTGACACTAAACTCAGAAGTTACTTTTAAAAATACATTCAAGTACCTTAATTATTAACAAAACTCTATCTTATTTGTGTATCACTCTGTAGATCCTCAATCATCTCTGAATTGGTGATGACACTGTCCTTCTTTTTGGAGGGTGGCTACTTTTGTTCCCCATGGTCCCTGTGTGTGTTGTAAAGTAGCCACCACTCCAAGCTCACTCCTGTAATGGACTACAATCTCAGTACAAATTAGTAAATTAAACATGAGATTGTAGTCCATCAAGGGAGTGAGCTTGGAGTGGTGGCTACTTTACAACACACACAGGGACCATGGGGAACAAAAGTAGCCACCCTCCAGAAGGAAGGACAGTGTCACCACCAGTTCAGAGATGATTTTAGCTGAGTGATATACAAATAAGATACATTTTTGGTAATAGTTAAGGTACTTATATGTATTTTTAAGATTTAACGCCTGAGTTTAACTACTAATATTAAGCACACTGTTAAATTGGAGCACCAATTATTACACACTGTTTGAAGTAAACTACTGTCTGGTTAGGAAATATTGGATTTGAGATTCTATTTGCTGTACATTAGCTAGTTATGAAGACATTGGTTTAAAATGATATAAAATAGTTTGATCTAACTTTTCTTAGAAGAAATAGAATGTATGACAACTGAGAGTGGGGCACTTTGATTAATGTTGTAGCAATGTGCGAAAGGTATCACAATGAAGCTGCTTGTTATCTCCTGTAACACAAAAAGAAACCTTTCTTCATAGCTGCACCTTATTAAGATTGGTTTCCACACAAAACAAAAAAAAATTGTTTATTTTAAACCCTTTTAAATGTATCCATATGGAAGTATAACAAAATGATTCTAAGAAAACGAACAGGATTATAAAATACTTGTTATGCTTTCATTTAGTTGCTTGAGAAAGAATGTTGGGAATCCTTGAAAAACCATGTCGTTTTCATAAGGCCATGCAAAGATTAATCACTGCAGGTTTAAGTGGCAGATTGTGCAAGCACTAAAGTGAGGACGAGGTGGGCTAAAAAATCCCTCCAATAAAGGGCCATGAGGTAGAAACAAGAAGAATTCAACAACTCTTAACACATTCATTTGAGAGTATAAGGTAAAAATCATTCCTGTATATCACCTTTTTATTTTTTAATGAATGCTGTTATGGTTAGCAACTAAAGAACAACCATTGTGTAGCATTACAAAGTAGGAAGG